CGCACCAGCGACGATTGTTCCAGCGTGTCGGCTAGTTCAAAGCAGCCCTTCATGCAACACGTAGCCAGGTTGCGCATCGGGTCTAATATTTTTGTCAACCACCGCACAACATTGTGTTAAGGCGAGTTGTTCATAAGCATAATCGGACGCAGTGGGTTATCTGCCTGGTGTAATTTCGAAATGAGTGTCTGAGTGCCAGTCGATTTCAACCGTCCATGTTGAGACTCATTGAGGTAATCATGTATCAAGAGGATCTGCAGTTATCTTGTCATGTGATTCTCAAGCAAGATGTTGTTTTCTGGTGTCTTGTTTAGCTGTAACATCTGTAGCCAGAATAGAATCCATCAATAAAATGTAGTCCGCCTGTTCATTATCACAACGTCCGATCCTTCATCCGACTGCAGAAACATTACGTGCCCCAGTTGTTTTCGCTGTACAGTGTTCAGCTTTCAAGCAACATCTCTGGCTTATCGGCGTACGCAAGAAATGGTTCGCAATTGCGACAAGTTTTGTCCGGAACAAACCCGCATCTTCTATTGATGTTGGCAAGAGGTCACTCAACTGTACCTTCAGATACACACACAATCGGCAATCGGCAATCGGTATTTCTTTACAAGCAAGAGAACTTCCAATTGTGTGCGGCTGAACTGGACAGATTGCACATGTGCGTTAAGCACACAGTAGGGTAGGAAGCATTGGGTGCCTTTGCAAGAGACCCATACAGATGGCGGACTGTTTTTGTGCGACGGAGAATATCAGCGGATAATGTCTCGAATTTCGATCGGTAAGCCAACGACAAGTGATTGAGTACACATGCGAACAGTTCCTGCGTTTGAGAAATTTTCGTTCTCGTTCGAGGCAGGGGTCGATGCTATCACGGACATATTGATGTTGTTAATCGGCAACTTGTTACCCGACAGTAGGCCGTTTACTAGTATCCAGTTAAGTAGATTAGCCTCAGCATGCTTGTTGAGAACGATACTGATGTCATACATATTATGAGCCATTGACCCAGTAGCGCTAGAGACGTGAAGAGTGTAGGCATGAGCGACAGACTCGGAATGAGATAGTCGATGATTTGCGTGTTTTGGAGATACATCACATACCAATTCCAAGAGGAAAGAGTAAGTTAATGCTGCCTATTGGACGACCTGCCAAAGAATGCGGACGTTAAACAAACCTATGTGAAATGTGACACTGCGTTTGAGAGTGAGGTTACATATATCGATAGTATCAGTTTGCAAGGAAACCGGCATTTTCTGGATTAATAGACCTGGTTGGTTCGGTGGAGCTATACGCCAGCTGGCGCGTCCCCAGGTTACGGATCGTGGAACGCCATACCTGCGAAAGTGACAGTAAATAGGTCAAGGCTGTTCGCAGGCGAGACGAACAAGCAGTCGCGAACAATTAACGGCAGCGTCTTACAACGTGGGGGTTCTAGGCTGGTCACCTGGTTCCCTCATTAAATACAAGAGCGCGTAAGACGCCGTTTGACCGGTTATATGGCCAATGAACCTCAATTTCGGCGACCAGATGTGAGTAAAGAACGGCCACCGGCTTCTAGGAATAGCGTAAGAGCTACCTGGTTGTCAACGGCCTTTCTGCCCTTGTGCGAGTTCAGTGGTACAGGAAATTTCTCATGTCCCCTTGCTGCTCTAATTGGGCTACTTGGGCGTCTGTAGTAGTTTGTCTCTACTCGAAAGCCGTGCTATCCCCGCTGTGGTAACCGGGCTGCGGATATATCCGAACATTCCTCAAGCCAACTATACTCGAACGTCGGGCAGAGTACGGATGTACAGAAGAATCACACCTTCCTTTGGTATCATTAGTGGCGTGAGACGGCTGCCAACATCACCCTTCCTCACCAATTTCACTGTCAACGACATTCTGGAGCGCGCTCGGAACAACTGTGAATCCAACAGCGTTGAGCTGCTTCCGAGAGACCGAATTGGCGAGATGGGGTGTGCATACAACATCGCCACCATTTGGGATTCCTCACAGCCTGCCCAAAATGTGATGTGAAAGTTGGCCTACTAGTTTGGAATGACCTTCGCCCCATCCAAGTGTGAGGTTATCCTACAGAATTGCCTAGGAGCTGTTCCTACCCTCTGGAAGTGGTAGACATGTTCGTTTATATCGAAAGCTGCATCAGCGCTAACGCTTTAACGGATGGCGTTTCTCTGCGCGTCTCTAAGACCCGGATTATTATAACTAACCTCTGTAATGTTTGGTGTCGACGCAACCTGGGATGAATCTACAATGTTACGGTGAAAGCAGCCCTGCTCTACGGTAGGGATACCTGGTCTGGTCGTGCAAAGGACGTTCGGAGGCTGTCTGTCTTTGATAACCGCTGTCTTCAGAGCAATGCAGGTGTATGATAGCAACAACATTAAAATTGAAGATGTTCGCTGAAGGATTTTCAGATCAGACAGACTTCGTCGGCCACTGAGCTGCATAATTTCACTATAAACGCTTCAATGAAGTAGGCAAGTGCTTCGCATGTCTACGGAGCGTGTACCCTGCTGTGCACTCTGCGCGCGAAGAACTCATCTGAAAACGAAAACAAGATGGCTAACGAATGAGTCGGGTCCAAAGTATAAACACATTGACCTCAAAGCTAGTCGTGGTCAGGCGCTCTCAACTTCCTCGTTAAGAGCGTTAGGAATACGAAAACACATGGTTGCAAACCATTACGAAAATGGTAAGAAACTGCGCACAATGGGGAACATTTTGAGACACCATTCACGTAAATACAATAAGACATCTTGTCCCTCTCCCTTTCACTTCATACGTGTTGTTTGCAGAAGAGTAGTAGGGGGAGTTGAATGGTATAGGTAGAAATTCGCCACATCTAAACTCACTCAGACAGCCGTCACACGCCCGGAAAAGCACTGTACGCGCGTTTCATCCTTTCGGGAATCGTCAGCTGTGCGCATTCCATCGGACCCTGGTAGGGCTCGAACCCGCAACTCGACTGTTGCCAGTCCGTGGTTGAGACCACTGAGCTACGGGGGACGGCAACGACCATTGTAACTAAGTTACTAGATGTGATATATCGCCGCTAACTATCTACTGACTTACACGCCACTGCCGTGCAGTACTAGTCTTCTGCAATCAGTACACAGACCAAACTGCTTATAATGCCATAGGTTAATTGGCGGAGTAAGTTTGGTAACCTCGTTGCTTGGTGAGGGGGCTACCCTGTCCTCTGCCGTGCGTGAACCATACCTGACGCTGTCAAACTGGCTGCATATGGGAATCGAACCAACCAATGATAACTCAGCCAAACAAAATAACTAGCACTTAAGCACTTGACGCGTCGCTGCTGCATCATTTGATATGTATGCGCGGTACCAACATCGAGAGGCCTGTATGCGCAAAGGTCGTTGATCCCAGTATCAGATACGCAGCACATATCAACACGCAGTTTCCGATGTACCTACTAGTGCAATATGTAGACCAATCTTCTTTAGAGTACGAACGCTGCAAAAGACCGGACAGCGTGAACGAGTGAAAGGCTATCTGTCGACAGTAGGGGATACTGTGGTGCAATAGTTGCAGATCGAAAAACATAAGAAGTACACCACCTGGTACCCATCGCCCTGAAGAAAGGAAGGTATGTAGAAGAAGTAGCTGACAAAATGAGAATTTAGCAGTAGATCTATTTTGTTGATCCGCCCCGCAGTATGCAACATATAAAAAACCCTGTCCTCCGCACGGTAGTAACGTGCAAGTCAGTGGATAGTGAGCGGCGCTATATCACATCTAGTAACTTACTCACGATGGTCGTTGCCGTCCCCCGTAGCCCAGTGGTCTCAACCACGGACTGGCAACAGTCGAGTTGCGGGTTCGATTGCTACCAGGGTCCGATGGAATGCACACTGCTGACGATTCCCGAAAGGATGAAACGCGCGTACAGTGCTTTTCCGTGCGTGTGATGGCTGTCTGAGTGAGTCTAGATGTGACGAATTTCTACCTATACCACTCAACTCCCCCTCCTACTTCTCTGTATATAAAAACCCTTTGGAATGGTGCGGTGGCCGAGATAGAGTGTGGATGAAGTGTGATTATGAAATCATGGCTGTACGATAGCATCTGCAGTAATGAGATCAGTGGGTATTTAAAAATGTGGTCGAGATATTCCGGAGGCCTATGGCAGCCCTTTATTTGTACTTAGCTTCGCACAACAACCCGAGTGGTTGGCGATCCTGTGACTTAAGTAACGTGAATATGTCCATGTGTCACGAGAACGAAAGACCATGTGGTGAGCATTTGCTTTCAATGATCCATCATCAGACCATTACCATGACATGGGGACTAGGAAGTAAAAATCGACCCAATTCGTTCAAAACGAATAGATCATGTGAAGGACAGTCAGAGACGAGAAGACGAACTAGGTCTTAGTGGACAAATATCTAACCCACTAAGATCTAGTTCGTTTTCCCGGCTCTGACTTTGACCGTCAGGTGATCTGATCGTCTTGAACTCCCTGGGTCAGTTCTTAATTATTAGTTCCGTATGATTATAATGGTCTGATGACGAATCATTGGTAAGTACTCAGCAGATGGCCTTTCGTTCTCGTTCGTTCGTGATTACTCGCAAGGATTATAGGGGATACTGATGGAGACAGATGGTAAACCCATTACTCTTTCGTACTCGGTTGTTGACTCGCAGTTATTTCCTATGGGTCACAACAAGTGGGTGCGCATCAGGTCGCGCACCAATGCAAGATGGAGGCACACAGGAAAAGTGGGATTCCCGGCAGTATTAGAATAAGCTGGATTACGCGGATGAAGATGTAGAGTGAAAGCCGATTGCTAGATAAACCAGTGGAGCAACAAATCGCAAAGTGACTAAGAAAAGTATTGGAACCAGGGAGCAGTTGAAAAAGATGGTATCACAGCAGATAACTGGAATATGATATTAGATAAAGTAAATGAGAGATATGACCACAAAAGCCCCGAGAGTAAACATTTAATGCTGATGGAGACCAGACTCACCCTTGGATGATTGGCGCCAAACAGATATTGGCGAATAGTTGTGAGTCCTCCGATAATGGGGCACCACCGCTGACAATGTAACGCAAACGTCCACCCATGAGAGATCGTACACGTCGAAAAATGAGGCGATCCACGAGAAAACTTGGAAAGCCACCGTGAATACGGCGACATTTGTACGCATAAGCAAAGCGGAACAGCTAAACAGGAAGATTAAAATGTGAGCAGAATAAGAACAGTTGGTGGCACGTCACTTGCGTTTTGGCATGATGCGAGAACCCCATAAATAATCTAGTGAGAGTGCTAGGAATGTCAGAACGCCAAACCGTCTAGTGCCTGGTGGCAGCATGCCAGCATGAAACCGAGTATATGGTATACTGAACCTAGGTACAAATACTACTGGATCGTATAGGATGTATATGCCCATAGATTGGAAAGAAAATTCTGGGACTCATAAATAATGCAACAATGCGAGTTGAACATCGTCGCGAACTGGTGGTGCCGAGTCGACCATACTGGTATGAAAGGCGGTTGAAGACAGGTAATTACTGTGGCCCATCATGTGATTCGCTTAGTAGAATAGATAGTGGTGAGGTAAAATAGAACGCAATAAAAGCACTTGCAGCTTTTGAAAATTCGCCCCCGGAGTTCACTTTCTCCCACACGGCTTTTGAAATGCGCTCCAAAACAGTGGGCACACTTGCAAAAAGAGTAGGTTGCAGTAAGGTAACATCGCCTTTACATGCGCCTCGCTTGATACGGGATGAAGTATCTGTAAGGGTTTGGGGATTCGAGTATCCGATCTAAAACAAAGTAAGGGAAATTGTGATGAACGCCGTAAAATTTCATAGATCTGGTCATTAGCGGCAATTTGGGAGTTAGTGTACAGTATCAAGGAACAAAAAAGGAAAAATTCGGCAAATAACTCACTCGAACCCCCATAATCATACAGCATAGTTCACAGCACAGTTCGAGAACATGAGCTAGGGGCAAATAGCCAATATATATGTCATAATTGCTGCGCATTTTCGGGAGGCGCTGCAAATGACCGGCGATTGCACTGACTAAAGATTCGTGGGTTAGTTCTACGCCCTTCGGTTGGCCTGCGAGAGGAAAAACAGAATATGGGGCTGAATACAATGAAAACGGTAAAGGGATGATTAGACCCGTAACAGCCGATATTAGGGAAAGCAAGGCTGACCACTCCATCACAATAATCGAAGGCGGTCCGTCGAGTTCAACTACCATATCAAAAACCGATAGCTACCGAAAAACAGGCCAATATGGCCAAAAAACCCCAATGAAATCATAAACTTTGATGAAGATAACTACTGAGTAAGAGTCAATGTCGAGGTCGACATCGACTCAGTACAGGAACCACACCGACGGAAAGAAATCGAAAGGACTTTCAAGACGCCGCTTGGAACTCGAGCGACGAGTTCAGTCAGGTAGAAAATGGTTAAAGATCACGGGGTGCAAATCGAACTTGTCACTTTCAAGTCATATGAACGTCGATCACGGATTGACCATTCGATCAGTACGATTGCACTCTGCATATCGCCGCACTGACGATGCCACTTCGCATGATTGCGAAACGTGTGCAACCAAATTTACAAACGCGGCGAATAAAAACAACTGGGACTGGCACATGGTTTCGGCAGTTGCGGACAGAAAGGGTCTTAGATAGAGAGAAACCGATCTGACACAACGGCTAGCCATAGTAACAAAAATGAAAATAAAAAAGTCGAATGCTCTCATCCGATTAAAGAGGACGATAGCAAACGGAAGGTGACTGTTCACCAAAACTGTTGATCAAGGTAGCCGATCCGTTCTTTAATGAAATGAAAACAGCTTGTAGTTACTAAATCGAATCATAATCCTGCATGTTGGTTAGAGATCATAAACACCTCAAATACTGTGCGCAAACAAAGTTCAAACAGGTGGTAATAAAAGAGAAATTAAAACGAAACAAAATATTGTACGCTTTTTTATTATGTACCGAAAATGAAATCGTGGTTGGGAGAGGCTAAAGGGGATGGAGAAAGAGAAACTCACAATACAAAGTTCACCGGTGTTAGCTCTTGGTTATATCGACAAGCGTCTACAAACAAGCATGTTCAGTATTTCCCAGGTCCCAACTATAGAGGTTACAGACTACAACGAAGGACAACTCCAAAGTGAGAGCCTTCATTTTTCTTGACCAAGTCATCGGCTAAACCTCTTTTCACGTACAGATTCCGGCGGAGCAAAAAATGTTGCAGAATTTGGTGTATTGGCGTGCGTAACGCAAGGTCTAGTCATTGAAGCCTGGTGCGTGAAATAACGGTACTATATGGTTCACCTTCTCTTCCCGTGACAAGACGGCGAAGGTCCTCACAATTCTCATGCAGTGTTCCCACCAGATATGAGCTAAACTGTGAAAGCCACAGTTGTCGAACGTAATCGGCTTCTTAATGTCTGCCTAGCTAATATGGTCAGGTAGACTCTAGTCTTCAGGGCGATGGTGTTGCTATACCGGGGTCGTAAGTTGCGAAGGTCACCAAAAGCTGTCCCGAAGTGACATCACAGATCCCAATATAGCTGCCCAAGAAGTTGAATTCCTGAACTTCTAGCTGATCTCCACAGGATGTGGTCTATGTCACTTCTAGAAGATAGTTTACATTTTGAGAATGTAAAGCACAACCCAAAAAGATTGATAGACAGTGTTGATACGCTTGGCGCTGCTTCGCGTGTTGGGAAACTGTTACAGATTAAGGGAACATCGTCGGCCTATTAACTAGAGGCGACAACATACATTCCAAATCATATCCAGTGGAGGTAACCTAAATAACCATCGACAGTGAGGCTAAAAAGGAAAGTAACCACAGACATCCTCGTAACACACGGCTGGAGAAAAGTCTACAGTCTGCCATAAGCCTTCAATGAAGAATTTCTTTGGCACATCTTTCTTAATCAAGCAGCCCAAATGGTAAGATCCACCGAATCCAAGGTACTATTACTACTCAGAAAGACGGCTGGGATGGATGGATATTATAAGTGGCAGTGCTTAAACTAACGTAAGTTGAACATGGAGTCAATGCAGCCTCCACTTTCACGAAACCTAGCACGATCATCAAGAATCCGGCTTTTAAGAAAGCTAGTTAATCTGTGAAGGACGATAGGCAAGTGGCTTGAAGATGATCACACCAGTCCCGCGGCGATAGCCAAATTCCTAAGGTGAGCCCTCCTTAGGAATTGGAACTGTAATGGAGCGGCTTCAATCGGTTGGGGCAATGTCCTGCACCCATAGATTCCTTAATAGATTGTGCAAGTCACCCATAAGAGCGAATCCCACGAATCTGAATGGAACTGAAGCAAGTTCATCTGGTCCTGAGGAAATATTCAACTTCGACAGTCTGATCTAACATTCGACTTTTGCATGAGATAGCGTATCCAAAGTGATGGCAAACAGAGGTTGATAACTGGTGTGCGAGAATGCTAGGAATTCTGGCCAGTCAAAATGCTCAGCCTAATGTCCCAAATGTTCTGACAAATTGTGGATGGACTGTGCCCTCTGATCGCGTTGTAGGAGCAGCTATTTTCATACAAGCGTAGCAACCACTCATCAATATCGTTAGAGGAGCCTAAGTCGCGTTTACCACCTAAATGGAGCTTAGCACTGGACAATTACCCAACTTGGAGGTTTGGATCGCAAGTCAAAGAGCACTGCAGTATCTGCACCTTTCCTGTGGCGAAAAAGCCCGTCCAGTCGAATATAAAATGCATCTCGACAAATCGAGGCTAGAGCTTGTGAGGGAGTAGGCAGCAATGACAATTAGGAAGTTTGAACGTTTGAATGAGCTAGCAAATCAGTCGGCGCATATCCAGCTATCGATTAGAATCCAGTCGATCAGAGCAGGTTCAGTCAGAGAGCTAAGAGCAATACTCACATCGATCTGACCGATACTTGAGTCAAAGAGAAAGTGCTGCCAGTGTCACATGAAGGAGACAGCAAAATAAATGCAGCAGATGAGACTCAGTAATGTTTTTAATGTTCGGGCAAGGGCTGCTGTTAACCGATATGCGACCAATTGCAAGCGTTAAGGCATGCGAGTTTCAGCAAGGGCCGTGAGCTTTAAATAGTAACGGATGAAATGGAACTTGAGACTACTTACGGTCTTTTTGATCGGAATGACCGAGGTCCACCTCAAGTGAACCGAGGTCTCAATAGAGGTTGCTTGTAGCAACGCAACCACCAGCGGATTCGCCAAGTCCAACTTTGCTTTCGTTTCCGCTGGACCAAGCGTTGCTCGCGGATCTCAGTGGCATAGTGTTTATGACGTCAACAATGAGCCACTAGGCTCTGAGTTTCAGCCCAACTCAGGCTATCTCCAACTGATGAGTCCCAACCAGGAGGAAACCGCGGTCTTGGGGTGCCAGTGTTGGGATGAGCAACACTATAATTTCCAACTTGAGACTAAGTTTGACATGAAGTTGCCGATAGGGTGGACGAGGTTGCGATTGCGTGTAAGAAGAATTGGAAGACAAATGCCCTTTAAAACAAGATGGAGAGGGCCACAAATTTGGGATCGGAAAATGGGAGACGAAAGCGAAGTTGGAACAGTACGAAGTCAGAAAGGCCTGAGCACGCCTACCCTTGTCCACCTGGATCGATGCACCAGATAAGGATTCGATGACTTTGATCTGAGACATCCAGAGCATTAAGAAGTTGTTTGGAGGAGTTTCCCTTGTAGTATGCGGGAAGATACAGCCCTGGTGCTCAATCGAAGTGGTATTTTGAAGACAGCCGCAAAGCATGATCGCGAAGTTACACGCGTTGATATTTTTATTTTCAATTACTCAGCACGAAAAATCAGATTTTTCGGTCTCAGGTCGCAACCATCGCTACTTCTGTTCTGTGCCCCGACTTATAAGATACGTGTAATTACCTAGAATGTATCTAACCGCACTGTTTTTCACGTTTTCCTTTCTTCTTTTCGTCGTTTACTTGGAAAACAAAACCGCAATTTTAGCAAAAATTAAAGTAGGGCGTTATTCGAAGTTTTTTGTAACTTGCAAACTGTTGAGGATATCGCATTTAGTTCGCTACTATAAGGTAGCGCACCGCATGTTTGCTGCGTTTGGCTTGTTTATTTTTATTTTTTACCCAGTTTTCGCCCTAGAAAGCGCTTTAGGCTGCTAGTCCAATTTGTTCGGTAGTCCTCCAAGGTCACTCATTGATTTAATGTATGGATGGCATACTGCATAGTTTGTGCATGCTTGAAGAATTGCTTTATCTAATTGCATTCTATTTCGCTTAACATAAAAACTTAAGTCTAGTCTTACGATTTTTCACGTTTTGCTACTGCATTGATTTGTTTTATTCCCCCGTTTAAACTATTTCTCCTGCTCTATTTACACATTTTTTGGAAGATTGGCTTGGCTGCTTTGGCCAGCTGGAGGAAGAAAATGAAAACGCGCTTCTGTAAGCTGGGTCGTGGTTGGAAAACGTAAAACCACCCAGGAGACAGACTGCAACCTAGCACTCACATTGCGGGCGTTTTTATCTGTCCGTTTGGAATCCCATAGTTACAAAACACATGACAAATAACACCTGGAAACCTCATGGATGAGAATGACGATTCTGTACCTTCCGATCTAGGCCACTCGGGTTCAGTCTCTCGCAGACGAGAATATACACTTCTTCTATTTAAAAATGGGTTACAGGGTGTCAGTTTGAGGAATAAAGAGCCAATCGTATGTTGATTACAACCTGGGGTATCAGGAGATTGGATTTGTCTGGCCTCTAATAATTTGACCAAACTAGAAAGAGTGGCACTGAAAGTGAAAAGCGCTACTCAGGAGAGTTTAATGGATGCTTGAGGCGAATGATCCACTGCGTCAATTTAAGTCTCGGCCTCACGGAAATAGAGACGCGCTTGTATGGAAGACTAGTGAAGCGTGAAGCACTGCCAGGAAGCAAAACGTACTGAACGTTTTAATATATAGTCTTCGGTCATTTTGCAAGACAAAGTGGGCCCTCGTGGGAGCAATTATCGACATCGAAAAACCACTAAACGGTGATTTAATGAGCGGAGCAGGCGAATGCGCAGTTGTGGGATAT